CTCTGCCACCAGGAAGAATTGTGTTTGGTTTTTGCTTTTTAAATACAAGGCCACAACATTGGCTTTAATGCAGATAAAAATATTGGCACCACTATTGACATTACTGCAGCTAGTACCCCATAATCCTCCTGCCCAGAGTATTGGCACAGATGCAAGTAGATACACCTTGAAAGAAACTGGTTACAGATTGAAGTCAGTCCTATTTGGACCTGGAAGAGCAAGGTTTAAAATAAGCACCAGCAAAATGGCATTTTGAACGTGAGTCTGTATCATCTAGCTCTGCAAACTGCTCTTGTATTCTTTCCCTGGGCAAAACGAAAACATGGAAAATGAACACACTCTTGGGTATGATATATTCTCATAATGTTCATAGTCAAAGCACTGAAACTCAACACAGCTAACAGGGAGAAGAAAAGCCTTCCATTAAACCTATGGTAGCATGGGAATAAAACAGATGTTTTGGGCACACAAACCCCTTTTAAGATAGAAATAAAAGCTTTATATTTACCTTTTTTTCTTTTTTTTTTTTTTTTTTTAATTGCCCCAGGCAGGGACTGGAAGCAACCCCATGCTGCTGAGGTGACCAGTAACACTACAGTGCACACAGCCTTGCAGTAATCCAAAGGCTCAGTCATTCCTCAGAAAGGTTTGATGAACACAATTATAAATCAAATAAAATCATTAACTAAATTAATCTGTTCACAAATAATTCATAGAACAGGGAAAGGCAAACTAGTAAGATGAGTCTGTAAACTACATACACATGGGTAGGAGAGAGAGAATCTATCTAGCTGCATGCATATATTTATTACATCACTCAAATTTAATTTGTATCAGAAAGAAAGGAGGAGCCTTATTCCCTATAATCTTGCACATGATGAGATCATTTTCATCTGTGCAAAGAGAACATGAGGCCTTACTCCATCAGAATCCTGCGCTCCCATTTGAGCATTTTACATCTACCACACACTGCTCTAACTGACCAGACATATTATCACCTCAGGCACATTGTCAGCCTGCATATGGAGCTAGCCAGGATTAGCTAAAAGATACAGATGAAATTATTTTTATAAATAGGAAATGCGTAGCAGGGGGGTGGGGGGAAAACGCTGGTTTATGATAATAAATGCAGTTTAGTATTATATATATATATTTGGGGAGAATTTCTACTTTGTTATAATTTGTTAGCACTCTGGACACATCATTTTTCATCATGTACTTTGAATGAGAGAAAGATACACTTTATAAGAATCCTCCATGCTTATATTATAGCATCATTCTCTCTTAATAGCCTTCTGGCTATCCACATGCTTCATAGTAGAAATTATCTGCCAAAATCACTTAATGCTGAAGATGTCATGGGACTGCAGGAAAAAGTCCACATTATAGTTTATCTTCATTTCTTCTTCAATTTCTTTATTTTTCCATCAATCACAATAGTTGATTCCTTAATAGTGCCCTTGAGAATCCCTACCAAGAAAGCAGAAAGTCCACAGACTCTCTCGCAGTCAGATGTTTAAAGCATACTCTGAGGATCTTGTAAATCTTCTCTAATACAGAATGGATCATTCAGGTCTCAAACTGTTTAATATAATCTGTCCTCCAGTCAGCCTAAGGGACCACAACCCTCAGGGTTGCAGCCCTTCCCCTAACTTTCTGAGATTTTGAAAATGTCAAGGCTAATCTTAGACTCACATAGGGTTTTTTAAATAAGTTGCTTGACCTTTGTGTTCACAGATATTCTGACTGATGCAAATCAATTACAAGGAAAGTTTGTCACAATTTTTTTTTCTTTGGGATATTCATTGTCCTTCCTACTTCTACCAGAAGCAACTTTTAAGATTTGTGAAAATCTATAGTTATTACTGATCTGACTTCAAATCATTCTGCAGCTGCAGATTATCTGTAACTACAGCAGCTACAAGTTCTCTCCTGGCTGCATGCTGGCAGAGGAAATTTCTTCTCTCATAACCTACAAGAATTGCCACAGTAATAGATCAGTAGTAAGAATAATACCTGACTCCTGGAAATGCTTTTTGCTAACTGCTCTCATAGAGCTTTACAAAGGTGAGGAAATATTACTACCATTTTTAAGGGGAAAACTCAAGCAATGCTACATGCTCAAGGTCAGCCAGTAGGAGAAGGGCATAGCTAGAAACACAGACTTGGTTTTATAAGGCCACACATAGGATACTAACCTTATTAACCTGAGTCCTTGTTGTTCAGCAGATTAATCACATACTTTTTCCATTTTCAGTTGTAGTACTGATTCTGATACCTAGTCCCTCTAATAGCCTAGGTTAAGCCACAGAGAGGAATTACTTTGTATAGGATAATGTCAAGAGTTTTTTAGCCTCACATGCAATTTAGGTTTTCACAATTTGCTTCCTAACTCTTATACTTGCACAAGGATATACATATTTATTAATCAACTTTTTTAATTACGTAACTTACACTGAGAAGTCCTAATTGATACAATCTGTAGATTTGTACCCAAAAAAAACCAACTTACGGTGCAAAACCAAGTATTCCACCTTTCTGGATCTAAATACGCATACACAGAACTACCCTTCAGAAACATGACCTATAATGATGCCAGATGATACATGGTAAGTCTCTAAAATGCCATCTTATTTTAAATTGCCATTTAAATATCCTAAAATAGGAGCAAACATTCACAAACCACATTATGAATAATATAATTCAGCTAAATTTGCCAAGAGGTTGGAGGAATTATCTCATTGACCCAAGACCCAAATCTGGTCCTCTATTTGCTTATTCTGGCTGAAAACCAGTCAGTTACATCTACAAAGAATACAAATAAGATTTTCCAGCATTTCACAATATTAAGGCCTGAGCAGGGTCTTGCAACATTTTTCAGTGTCATACCACTGTGTTCTGGTAGTGGACACTTGTGCACATGGAGTACATGTGACTCAGCAAAGCATTTCCCCAGGTTGCAGTGCAGTCAGACTTCGATGGAGATACACCTTTGCATGTGTGCCCAACTGTTGAGATACTGACAAAGTACTGATCCTTAGGAAGCATGTCTGCAACATGATGTTACGAATTGCATAAAGGGCCATGTGCGATTTTTCCGTTTTCAGATGCCTTGCTACAACAGGCAGAAAGACAAGGGCTACTGGAAGACAACCTGTAATTTTACTCAGCATTCACTCTAAAAACATTATGTGAAGGTGATGAGATAATCTAAAGATTCTCTCAAAGAGAACAACTTTTCTACTCAAAAGTATAAGAACACCACTAATGTTTTCTGAAATTCTCATCAGCTTTTCTCATTATTGTCCCTCTTCCACTGTCATTACTGAGCTTGTAAGCTAAGACAGTGTTCTTCATGAACAGCATATCTAACATGGCAATTACTACAGTTCTACCAGATATTAGGTAAGGTTTGGATCTTTCTTTACATTTCTTGGTTCTAAATGAAGGAACTGATGGACAAGTTGTAGGAATCCTTGCAGTTATTTTGTCTTAATGAACATACCTTGGGACACATGCTTTTCAATGGGTATTTCCCCTCGATTTCCTATTATTAATATTTGCAGTGGAGTTACTTCAGAAATAGCAGGTAACCTCCCAAAACCTCAAATATAGTTTCTCTTTCATAAGAAAAGCTGTTAGTACAAACACAGAAATAAACACCTATGTGAAAAGCACAGAACCTGAAAGGTTCTTTAGTAGGAGAAGATTTTGCAGGCCTTCCTAATTTTATTACATTACAGCCAAAGTTACCATGCCATCATTCTGCAAAGGTGTTACACCTAGCAAGAGTGTCATGGAGAACTGTGAAATTTCTTCATACAGTATAGTGCCATTACAGAAACACCTGTGTTAAAAATAACTTCAAGCTTGTCTACTCTGAAGTATTCCTTAACCTTTAAATGCTTTCTTTCTTACCTGATACTTTAATACTTGTGTTATGTTCCAGACCAGAGTTGTGATAGCAAAAGTATAATCTTTTTTCTCCTCTTCTTCTGACAAAAGTATAGTACTCCTCTTTAGTGACAAATAATTGCATTTACAGCTGTAATAAACACACACAGAAGTGTGGTAAGCGAGAATGAAAAAATCCAGAATGCAACATCTATTCATTTTGTGTTTGCTTCCTTGCCCTCACATTAGGTGTGACCGCCATGACCCTCTCCCACAAGATGATCTGTAGCAGTAAGGCCACTGTCCAGGGGGAGCTCATTCTTCTCCATAGCACCCACTTCCACCACAGTGTTCTCAGTGTCCTATAACACTGCTGGGGTGGAACAGTAAGCCCAGCCTAAGCCCTGGCATGCATGTGAATTGCTTCTAAAGAGGGGAGTAAAGTGTTTCCCTGTGACTGAATTGAGCTGAATATATGACCACCAAACAGTCCTTGGTGATCAGAATAGACTCACTCTATCTGCTACAGTTTATGCAGGAGAACAAAAGAGCAAGATTCTCCTTGCAGTGGTCATCAAGAGTGTTTCCTCTTCTAGGTGGGAATGGTCAACCAGCAAAACCTATAAATCTGTCTTTTACAGAGAGTTCTTCACTCAACACAGTATGGCAGACATTTCAGAGGTAAAAGAAGTGCAGTGTTGAAAAAGGGTGGAGTCCTTCAAACCATTCACAGCTATAAAATTCCATGAGTTAGGGTCAAGTAAGGCAGCAGGGTGGGGCATCTTGAGAAGTACAGAGCTTTTCACTTTTCACCCTTGTCCTGGTGGATGTTAAAGCAGATTACAGCCTGCCCTATGAAAGGTTTTCTTTGTGTATAATACAACATTTATGTGTAGAATCAATAACATCTCAAACCAAAGGAAAGCTACCAACAGTTTCCTTCCTAGGAATAGCACATTCTTGATTCTCATTCACTACTTTATCCGCCAGCTGTTTTAACTGATTAGTCAAAGGCACACTCCTTGTTGACATAAAATGTGTGGCAAAAACAAATGTATAAATGAATAATTATTTCCAACACTTGCAATGAGATTAAGTGCTTATTGGATTAGGAAAATAACAGGATTTAATGGGGTCATTTATGCATCTCTAGTATAAAAATGTACAGTGCATGCCTACATATCAGATCTCTACAGTCCATGTGGCTATAACCTCTTAAATATTTTATCTATTGGGTACTAATACATTTCTGGTCTCTTCATTTTTAATACATTACAGGTAAGTGTCCTTGGGCATCTCTGTAGTGAACACGTGACACAGCTGTTATTGCCATTAGTGAACAAGCATTTTTCAGCATGATCTAATTTCAGTTTCCAATAACTCTCCTAGATCTGGGGGTCTGCCTTTTAAGTCACACGTACATAAAATGCCTCCTGTTCTGTACGTTGCTGGAGCCACCACAAGCATTGCCAGTCTTCATTGCAGTGTCTCTACAGCTTCCTGGAGAAAAATAAAGGAACAGGAAAAGATGATTTGGTGAACTCATATCTGTACCACTGTATTGGTTGTGTTTGGCAAGGTGTGGGTGGTAGAAGGGTTGTAGGGGTGACCTCTGTGAGAAGAGGCTCGTATTTGCCCCATGCTGGACACAGCCATCTCCAGTGAGTTCCCTAGCAGAGACACCACAGGACACAGCAGAGCCCACTGGGGTGTTTGGGGTGTCTCTGTGAAAACATACTTAGGAAAGAGTAGAAAACACTTGACAGCCAGTGGGGGGGAGGAGAGGGGTGGAGAAACAACAGAGGAAACACCAAGGTCAGAGGAGAAGAAAGAGTTACTTCAGGTACCAGAGTTTATATTCCCCAGCAGCCTGAGGAGAGGGCCACACTAGAGCAGATAGATATTCTTGAGGGAACTGCAGCCCAGGCAGAGCCCACACTGGAACAGGTTTCTTCCTGAAGGATTGCAGCCCATGGAGGAGACCCACACTGGAGCAGGGGAAAAGTGTGAGGAGGAAGGAGAAGCAAAGAGAAGCTGTAATGTACTGGCCATAACCTATAGTTCCCATCCTTTCTGCAACACTCAGTAGGGCAGGAGAGAAGCTGGGACTAAAGGAACGAAGTTGAGCCTGGGAAAGGGGGAAGAAAAGATGGTGTTTTAATGTTTGTGTTCTTGTTTCTCACTACCCAAATCTATTTAAACTGGCAATAAATTAAATTCATTTTCCCAAGTTCAGCCTGTTTTGCCAGTGATGGTAATTGGTAAGTGATCTCCCTGTCCTTAGCTTGACCCACAAGCTCTCTAATTCATGGGTTTTTCTTATTTTCTCCATCTGTCCTGCAGAGGAGGGGGAGTGCAGCTGGGTAGGCATTTGGTTGATAGCCAAGATTAACGCATCCCACCATTTGCAAGTTCTAGATTAATTTTTTCAGATAGCATGATCTACAGGTGGCTTTGTGGTATAGCAGGTATCTCTGTTTTCCAAGCTAATTTCAAAAAGAATGATCCTAAGTATTTGTTCCTTACTTTCAAGATCAGTATGGACATCTGAATGCTGAAAAATAAGTTTCTTTTTTTTTCAGTTTAGACTGCACAGCAAGGAACTGCCTGAAGCTACTTTGATCTGCAGTTGATCAAGAGACTCAAAAGCTCGATGGTGCTGGAAATTATAGTAGGATTAGAATAAAAAGAGGTGTTGACAAAAAAAGTCTGAATCCCAAAGAACACTCACAAGCATAGGAGGATTCAAGAGAGGAAACAGTGGTAGGTATTTCCCTATTTTGAACAGCTCTTTCTTTCTACTTGTCTAAACTGAAGGAAGTTTGGTTTACATGCCATCTGCACTCTGCCTTCTGTAGGCTTAATCTGCTACATGTCCTTTAAAAATGTGTACCTGGCAGCTTAAATTCCTACAAAATAAGCAATACCATTGGCTGTAGGACCCTACTTACAAGTGACAGAAGAAAAGCCTTTTTTCCAGGTTAAATTAGAGTCAGTAACTAAAGTTTTGTGATTGTTGATCCTTCCATTTACAGGACAGCTGGACAAAAAAATATTGAGCAAATTTACGTTTTTTAACAACCTTTTTAACTGCACAAAACATTTAACTTAATCTGAAGCAGAAAATTCATCATGATTTTGGGTTTATTTATTTTTAAAAAATACATTTCAAGGAAAATTTGACATGTATAGTATTATATGGTATTTTCAAACCAAGCAATGAAACTATTTATTTTAAAGGATTGCAATGACAAATAAAAATACATCTTCCAATTTATTTTCTGGAGTTTAAGGAAAGCTAATTTTTGTTTAGTTGGTTCCAACAAGTAAATTGATAAAATTTAATCAAATTCTCCAAGTTATTTGTACTGCTGAACCTGTCTCTTTCATGTATTTGAGAAGTATATATACACTGTATCAGATGGAAATTATTGACAGACTTTACCTGGAGCCAGACACACTCCACCTGGAGTGTTAAAGCTCTGGAGCTGCCACAAGGGAGAAATCTGGGCAAGGCTGAGGGATGGATCAGTGCTTCTTATTGATCCCAGTAAAGTTGTCAGGCTGGCTTTTCCTCAGAGAGAATGGGAGTAGTTTGGGGAACAGAAAGGCATGGCTGACTCAGACCTGGTGATGGCTGCACTATTGCAAAGACATGGGGGTAAACAAGGAGGAAAGAAGGATGCACGCCCCTGCCCATTCCCAACCTCTAAAACCTGCTGTCATATTTGAGGAAGGGAGGGAGGAAGTCAGGCAGCAACACCTCTAACAGCTCACAGAATGGGTGGAGGAGGAAAGAGCTGGCAGAGGTGGACCTGCATCTGTGTTTCAGCGAAGAATAAAGGGAGAGCAACTTTACCACAGCCTGCTTTATGTGTGACAGGGCAGGAGGGAAGATGGGAAAGAAGGACACAGGCCATCTGCTTACCCAGCACCCAGAAATCCAGCAGAAATACTAACTTACAAGGAGGGAATCCTGAAGTGGGATGCTGCCGCTGAAGCTGTCAAAGCTGGAACATGCTGAACCATATGAGCTTCTTTGGGCCTACTTTTCTTCTCATCCCCTGTGGCATGGGATATGCTTGCATTTACTGTAGCCAGTCCTGAACCCCACACCTCATTTATGCTGGCAGTAACTCTGACTGAATCAAGCCCAACCCCTTCTGAAACATTTCTGCCTTTTCTTACCCAAACACAAGCTTCATTTTGTGGAAGGCCAGTATCTTTTTCCATTGTGACTTTACTAGTTAATTTGGTGTTTATCACAAAAGATCATGTAGCCAAAGTCAATGGCGTTAGTTTCCTCACTTTCACGCACTTTTCCTATATAAAGTGATATGAAGTATTCTGGCTATCAGTACATACTACAAAGCTAGATGAAGTCCACAATCAGTTTTCCATAGGAAACCGTTCCAGTTATGGAAACTAGTCTCTTACTGGTGGAAGGCAAAATTGTTATCAAGACAGGGGCTCTCAGCCAAGTGGAGCCACTGTCTCTAAAGTCATGAAGCCATGGAGGATCTTCCATGTCCATGATGTGAAACACATTTCTTCCCATCAGACACTCCCACTGATAAACACCCAACTCAGATTTTGGACGAAGCCAGTTCTATACTCTTCAGTGAGTTTTTCTGAGACCAAAGAGATTCCACTGTTGCTGGGCTTTTTTCTTTTTCTTCTGTAAGAATGGTATCTTGGACTTTTTGTACTTGTTCACTCTGAAACAAATACAGATATGCACATGTTCTCACCCTGTTCATCTCCAAAAATCTCACTACATTCACATGATCAATGACTGAACAACTTGACTGAATTTCCCCCATTTCAGGATCAAATCAGAGGGGGAATAGCTTATCCAATAATCTGTTCCATGTCATCATACTACATAGTACCAAGGTCCCACCGTCATAATTTGTTTTTAAGGATAAAATCACTGTTATCTAAAAGGAGGCAATGAGTATTAGTGGTGTGCAAACAACGGTTCAAATACTCTGGGAACAAATAGATCTGTAACTTAGTCCAAAAACATCACAGTTGTGATTTCTGCAACTGAACTACAGCAAGATATGTCATAAAACCCCCTTACATATACAATGTTCAATACATAATGTTGTATGCTGTTTCAGTACACACATTTAAAAACCAATGCATTAAAACAACTTAAGGGTTTTATGTTCACTTTTAACCCTATTCACACATGCATTTGCTGTGCAAATCTAGGTGTCACAACTTTTATGAAAATCTGAGGTAAATTCACCGTATGTTATTCTATTTATATACTCACCAAACACAGATGTTCACATACACTCACTCTAAACTACATCAGTGACCAAAGCTGAAAATAAAACTGATTTTCATGTTGTCTGTGCCTCTACCACAGTTGCAAATCTAAGACTTGAGAACACCTTCCCAGTTTGCAGCTGTTTTATACATAAGGATTCATGAGCTCAGCACAGAATTTCTACTTTTCTACTTTCTTTTTGTTCCAATAAATACAAGCAAACAGACAAACCATGCATGACTCAAAATAATTTGAACGTTTACTTCTTCATCTTTACTATTTTCCTATTTGAAGACCTAACATATTTTCCTAGTTGTTTTCCTGCGATTCTCCTTACTGAGCTACTCACATCTGTCCTATCCCAAATGTTTTCAATCAGATCAGATGTGATCACATACCACATTCCTCATAAGCGATTTTTGAAGACATCACCATCACCCACACAACAGTGTCTCCCTTCTCCACAACATCCCCTCTGAGATCACTACAGATGGGCCCAGGCTCGGGCTTCCTTTGAACACCTCCCTCTTTGCTCAACTCATTCTTGTTTTCAAAAGTGCTCTCTTCCTTCTGTGGATAGATTTATAGTAAACCATGTATATTTGGCAACCAAAATTCACAAGTATAATTCAAGTATCCAGGCTTGCAACAGCTAATCTCAAGAAAGCTGATTTAGATCAGACCAGCCTCTCTGCTGAAAAGATATCACACCATTACTTTGTTTCTTCCACTGGATTCCTGCTGAACACAAGGTAATATTCAAGATTTTAGCCTGCACTTTCAAAGGTACATATATAACTAGCCTGAATTATGCGTGGGATTTCTTCGTCCTCTGCAATCATGACACGTTACATCAGCTTCTTTCCAGATGTGAACAAAGTGTTTCTCCCAGTGCAGAAACATGTTAGTGCAGGAGACAGGATTTGGCCAGCAGCTGTTGTGCATAATTAGAAAGGAATTCACTTCTGGTATGCACAGGAGGACCACAGAGTCATTACCTCAAACACAACATATATCCCACCACATATCCCACAACATAGATTTCACCACATATCCCTAAAGCAACATTTCACAACAAAACAGCCTGAAACCAAAGCAAGCAAGATGGATGGACAAATAGACATATTTACAAGTATAAGTGACAGACTAAAAGCATTAGTTGCTTTATTCACAAAAGATAAAGCTTTAACAAACATATCCAAAAACTTATGTTTAAATTGCTTAAAACACTGGCCCAATGTGTTCATCATGCATATACTTTGTCATGCAAATAGTGTCCATGCTGTTCACACACGGGCATGGACCTATAGGCCAACCACAGGTTAAGCACATCAGTGTCACACTGAAGGAATCCCCATCCCACTGTGCTCATTGAAAGAGTTTATTTATACACTGAATACTTCCATGATTGAGAGCAGGTGGGATCTGGCCATGGACTTTTACAGTTTGAACAGCTTGCTTAAAACCTCTTACGCAGGTTTTAACTTCTGTCTTAATTCCTGATTTCATCTTCTTTTTTCATGAGCTTGAACATAAGAGCAAAAAAATTATGAGTCAGTCAGTAAGAGTATTTTTCTTCATAACTAGGAGCTCAGATTTCAGACACAGGATCTGCTTTGGCTTTTGTATAGCTTGTACAAATTTACATTAAGTGACAAGTGATGCCATAGTGCTGAAGGACATAAATGTCAATATGTGATGTATGGTTTATATAGTCACAGACTCAAAAAAGAACTGTAGTAAGGAAATTGGAATGATTATTTTTCCTGGGAAAGTCTTCGAGATCCATTTATCTCAGCAGCTACACCACATGCTCTGCACTTTTCAGATTTTCTGAAAACAACTGAAAAGTTGTAAGGACAGAGACACAACCTGAGTGGTCTCCTCTTTCAGATACAGAAGGATTTATTCTCAATGTTTGTGAACAAACTATCTTGGATACTTTTCTACCTTCAAGAAATGTTCAAAGTAATCTGTAAAGATGTATAAATGTCTCACTCTCATTAGCTGTAGGATTCTGTAGAATCTCTATACCTTTGGAGGTTGGAAGATGTTTGTGTTTTTCCAGATAAGCCCACCACAACCAAATTGGCATGGGGTGAGAGTTGGAGATTCAGAAACCATCAGCAAAATGGGAGTTACCTTTATGGTATCATTTCCATCATGAGTTGGTCTCTTCAGCTCTTGCAAGTCTTTTCCATGGAACTCCCCAGCTCCAGCCTCTCAGAGAGTTGTTTTTGTGACCCACAAGAGACAAAAACACCATGTTGATTATGAGCCCCTCCACCTCCACGGGAAGGGATGAACCTAAATGGAAAGACAAATCGTCCATATAGTTTGTACTGGAGATAAGACTTTAAATTATGACTGAGGCACTCTCACAATGTGCCTCCAGCTTTAGCCTTCCACGCTCACAGTTGCCTGGGAGGCCATTGTCCTTTCATGTCATCTCAGACAAAATACACCAACATAAAACTGTTTTCTGTCCTGAACCACATTACAATTTCTCTAATCAATGACTTTGTCAAACTTAATCTAAAAAAAATTATCTTTTACTTTAATGTGCATCCACTACCTTCCTTAACATTGCATCCAAAGCAAAGACATGTTACAGAGTGGGTTTTGAAGACCATTTTCTGACTTCTAAGTTAAATTAGCACTTTAATAAAACCAAAGTAGCAATATAAGAGTGAAAACCCTGAATATGTGCAGGAAATGTAAGACTCTTAAGAGAAAAATCAAAAAAAATCCCCTAAATACTACCAATATGCAAAATGGTAGGAAACTATAATAAAACCACAGTTACCTAAGGGAATAGGACGTTAATATGACTGAATTGAGACAGACAACTGATACAAATGCATATCGATAAGACGTTTAAGCTCTTGGAAATCAGTTCAATCGACAGAGTGGGTAAAATAGCATGAAACAAAGTGTTACCCCTTCAAATGCACAAATAGGCAGATCCTGATAATGGAGCTGCTTCTCTGGCCCACAATTTCTTGCCATATTCTATACCTCAGGGTTGCTTGAGCAAAGTGAACTGATACAGTGGGAATAGCAATGCTTCATCTCAAAGGCAGCTGTATTTTTAAATATATTTTTTAGCACTTCGTGATGTATTTCCCTGTGTCAGGAGACTTAAATATTTAAACAGGGTGACAAAGTTCATTTCAAACTCAATGACAGTCAAACCCCCTGACATCCCCCTTTTGTAATGTGAGCAGAATTTTCTTCGAAGAAATAGCCCACCTCAAAGGAGTGGAGAAAGGAAAAAAAAAAAAAAAAAAAAAAAACCACAACCAAAAACTTCTGTTCCAACTTTTAAAGCCCTGGAAGTCTTTGCAATGTCTCTCTCACCTTTACCTAGCGAGTCACCCCACCCATCTCCTACCGACAGACTTTCATTTTTCAAATAAGTTGCAAGCACCCTCACCGTGGAAAACCAGCTGCCCAGCGGGGCAGGTGAGGGAAGGACGGCAGCCCTGAGTGACCTCCCGGGGGCCGGGCGCTCGCCAGCCTCACCTCAGCCCTAAATCCTCCCCGGGCAGCTCAGGCTGCCTGCTTTCTTTCCCAAGCGCGGCTCTCAGGCCTGCCGGAGGGGTGTGCCTGTCCTCCGGCAGACCCGCCGATGAGCAAGCGCCTGAAAATGTGACAGAACGGGAAACGCCGAGTTCGCTTTCCCACCCGGCGCGGCCGCCGGCGCTCCCGCGGGCTCCGGGTCACCCCGCGCGGAGCCATCTCGTGGCCCGCCGTGGGAACGGCAGGCGGCGGGCCCCGCGCTCCCCTCCTTCCCGGCGGGAGCGCTGATCCCTGCCCGGCGGGAGCGCTGATCCCTGCCCTTCGGGCTTTGCTCCAACCGCGCCTGTCCCTGTAGCCGCTCGGTGCGCCCCGCCGCCGCGTCCCCCGCCGCACATGAGCACGGCATCACGGAGTATTCCGAGCTGGAAAGGACCCACAAGCGATCAGCGAGTGCAGTTCCTGACCCTGGACAGACCATCTCCAAAAATCACACCATGTTGCCTGAGAGCATTGTTTAAACACTTCTGTGGTTCCGTTCCCCGTGGTTCTGGCAAGAGCCGGAGGCAAGAGCCGTGCTGATGGGAGTCTGCACTGGTTGTTGTATCTGGAACACCGAGGGGCAGGCAGAGTGGCAGAAGGAGCTGCTTCTGGGGTGGGAAAAGGTAATGGTTTTCCTCAGGTGAAGGTCTTGGCTTATATTAGGGCACTGTCACTACCCTCCTGAGAGCACAGGCAGGACAGGTCTCTCACAAGCCCCATTCTTGAACCATCCCTTTCTGCTGCTGGGTGGGGGGCAGCTGTGAAGGAAGGATCAGATTAGAAAAGACCATTCTGAGGAAAGAAAGTAAAATTTTTAAGTGAAATATGCCTTATACAGAATAGCACAAGGGGATGAAAAAGGACTACCATGTGTTTTGCATGGAAAGTTAGTAGCAACTACAGTGACAAATTATCAAATCATAGAATCACCAAGGCTGGAAGAGACCTTTAGGATCATCCAGTCCAACCATCAACCCAGCACTACCACTGTAACCCCTAAACTACATCACCCAGCGCCCGATCCAGACACCTCTTAAACACCTCCAGGGATAGTGACTCCACCACCTCCCTGGGCAACCCATTCCAATGCCTGACCACCATAACAGTGACAAATTTTTTTGTAATATCTAATCTGAATCTCCCCTGTTTCAGCTTAAGGCCTTGCCTCTGGTCCTCTCACTGCAGGCAGAGTAAAAGAGACCAGTCCCCACCTCACTACAACCTTCCTTCAGGCAGTTGCAGCAAGTGATAAGATCCCCCCCTGAGCCACTTATTCTCCAGCTTAAACAACCCCAGCTCCCTTATCCGTTCCTCATAGGACATGTTGACCTTTCACTAGCCTTGTTGCCCTTCTCTGGACACACTCCAGCACCTCAATGTCCTTTTCAAAGTGAGGTGCCCAAAACTGAATGATGTACAAATAACACCTCAAGAATAGCTCAGTCGAAAAGGGGTTAATTTGCTAAAAGGACCTGTTTGTGGGGGGTTTTTGTTGGGTTTTTTGTTGTTGTTTGTTTGTTTGGGGTTTTTTTGGGTTTTTAAATTTTTGTTTTGTCATCTGGGGTTTTTGTGTTTGTGGTTGGTTGTGTTTGTTTGTTGTATTTTTTTAACCAGTCACAAGCAGTGGGCTTGTGGAGGGGCTGCAATGAATGGAGCAGGAAAAGAAGCACGTGGAGCTCCCTTCACTCTTACCACGTCTCCTCACAGCAAGGCCAGCATGCAAACACCTGAGCAGCCCATGTAAAAGAAAGAGAAATCAAGCTGCTCCCAAGCACACCAGCATACTTGCAGCCCCATTCTCTGCATAGCAAATCAAAAGGCATAAGGAAATAGGAAATGGGAAATGGCAAAATCCTGCTTCATGCTCTTCCAGAGCACTGAAGGCCAGTATCCTTTCAGACCTGTTTTTCAAGCACGGGAATATTAAAGATGGCTCCCTACACACTGCAGGGCTAATATAGGAGTCCCCCAAAACCCCATATCTTCCAACAGGAGCAAGATGGAAGAAGCTGATTACTCACACTATTTTGATGTTTATGCCCACCTTGGCCTCTTCTTCTCCTTGAATCCTTCCTTCCCCAATCACCCAAAATGGACATGGTCTTCCACACAGTGGGCAAGATTTTATGTCTAGTGGGAAATGAAATAGTCAGCGCCTCCTTGCCATACAGCCATGCCACTGGCCTTGGGAGTGAGGAGGCAGCAGAAGCTTCCTACCAGGAACTTCAGCTTCCCATGCAGTCAGAGAGAAGTCAAAGAAATTAAGTTTCTCTTCCCCCTCCACTTCCAACTTGCCCTATGCAATAGCCAGTGTGGCTAAACAAGAACAACAGGATCTTGTTATTCCAACCTATTACTCTAGAAACAATGTGGGTCTGACATGTTCCTACCTCTATATCAGTCTCTGCCCTTCTATCATGCTTGTGCAAGTGTTTGGGGAGGTGCTTAGTAAAGCAGTAACTGAAGCAGCCCAGCCTGAACAAATGCTTTGAAAATGAAAAAAGAGTAATTGTCCCCAAAATATTTGTATCCATTGCATTTCCTCATGGAGCTGTTGGAATAAGCAGAATGACAAAACTCTTTATACAGCTTTCCAAGACAAAGTGTCTGCTAGTCTCCACCACTGTTGAACCATCAGAGTCACAGTAGACAGGAAAAATGTTCCTATAATTTCTATGTGTGATGCAGAGACATGGACTTCAAGTCCCTGCTTGGTAATTCTCAGGGAGTCCTGCAAGCCCCATGGAGCCTCTGCCTGCCACCTGCAAAATCAGCTTCTCTGCCTGAGACAGCAAGTAAGCAAAAAAGACTGGTGTACTCTGACACAGTCAAAATGGAGCCCATAAAACACCTCAAGCTGGAAGGTCCCCTGCCACCCTCAGAGGAGGGGTTCTGGGGAGGATTTCTGACTCTGAGGGATGGTGATCACCCACGCTGGCCCAGCAATCTGGTACAGACCAGCTACATCAGCGTGCCACTGTGCTCTTCCAAGAGCATCTCCTCACTGCCCTGGGTCATGTCTTTCTCACAAAGATTTTACAGGGATGTCATAACTATACATCCTCCCATATGCATGGTTAAGAATTAGAGCTTTCCTAATCCTGAATAATTGTTGACATGAGAGCTATTAGACAGAACGATCAAATAGCTTGTTATTAAAAGACCAATGAAGAACATAAAAAGCTACTAATTGTCATAAGAAATCTTGATCCCGAGATACTAAACCCCATAACCTATGGAATGCTTACTTTATATTACATGACTTATGTGCTATGGTATGTATTATTCAAATTCCACCTGTCCTGTACTGTGTGGAAACAGTATAATTCATCATGTAGGTCTCCAGGTAAAGGAGAAGTGACACCTTGTGTGGCTGTGTTGCCTAATCCCACATTTTATGGTCAGATTTTAGAATATTATTTTAAGTTCAGCTAAAACATTAATTGGAGATTCTGATTTATAGCTAATTTTTTTTCATCATTGAACTGATAAAGCAAGCTATAATGAGAACTTTCTGGATGATAGATGTCATTCTCCTGAGTGGTGCTATTAGCACTTGTCCAGTTTCAGGAATATTTATTAAAGAAAAAAAAAGACACACATATGGCTTGGTGTAATTATGTAGCCCTTCAAAGTAAAAAAACTGTTTAAAAGAACACAACTTCCTAAAGCTATGTTTATCTTCTTTTAATTTCTATTACTTTTTCCAAGTCTGTCAGCTTTACATGTAATTTTACATTTTGTCAAATGAAGTTGATAACACTAATTTCACAGAAATAAAGGCCAACATTCGTAAACTACAATAACAAGTCAACACATGCCTGTGTCTGTGAATGGGAAGGGGGATAAGAAAAAGGCCTTGTTTTGGTAGGCAAACAAATTTCAGTTTGCATTTCACAAGGGATTATCATTATTCTTGAGCAAACTCAGTGTCTGTGAACATCTTACATTATTCTCATGGTCCACAGGTTTTGCAGAGGTATCTTGACTTTGCAGACATTTTTTTGATGTAATTTAAACCTTTTTTTTTTTTCCCCATGTAAAAATCAGAAAAAAAAAACTTAGAAAAAACACACAGCTACCTAATGTGCCAAATATTTCTTTGGACCATGAGTAGAAGGTATTACTAGTATTCCTTTCAGATCCTCCATCCATACTATCTAATTCATTCTTCACACTGTATTCATATTTCTTTTTCCATGCTGCATTCTTCTCTATTTCCCTTATATTATCATTAGGTATTATTCTGTGTGATCATCTTCTGAAAAGAACAAGAAGCTAATAATATTTCATGATTAGAAGTGGTCTTTGAATGGGCTTGTAATGAGGTAAAATGAGTTCACCCATCTCTAGTTGTTTTGTATACAATATTCTCCTAATAGTGAGAAATACCTTGACAGAATCCCCTTAATTAAAACATTCAAGAAACTGAGATCCTGTAGTATCTGGCTTTATAGATTTACACAGTACTGTATCTTAAACAGTGATTTGGTTGAATTCAGTAGTAAATTAGTGTGATTTATAATTTCTTTAGCCCAAAAGTATTTTACATGGTCTTGGTGGTGTTTTTTTGTTTGGTTTGGTTTGGTTTGGTTTGGTGTTTTTTTGAGTTTTTTTTTTCAGTATACTTAAACACCTTCAGAGTTACTTAATTACCCAGAATAATTTTGATACACAATCATTTACTGATGTGTGAGTTACATTCTTGTCTATTTACATGAACCCCTTCTCCCTTGGTCTATTTTACTGTAAGAAAAACTTGACAAGGTTAGGGTGTGATTCACAGGATGTGCTGTTGTTACACTAATGAACTCCTTGTGAATAGTGCAAATATCAAAGAATTGTTTCTCTCTTGAAGGAATCAAAATTACAATTTCTTTCCCTTGCAAGCAGCTGTGGGGTTTGCAGTTCTTTTCATAACATGTTTTTTTAAAAGTGAAGAAATGCAAAAAACTACTGACAGAAAATTACTTTCCCATTGAAAGTTACTAGCTTGCCTGTGGGCAGAGAGATTTTAATTTAATAAAGAAAGTCCAGAAGAAAAAGAGATTTTGTAAATAAACAAACCAAGCCTAATATTTCATTTTAATATCCATGGCCCTAATCGTAGGTGATCTAAAATCAAGCCAGAAACACAAGACTGCCAAATTGTATACGAGCCACTCTTTATAAAAGCAAAAAGAAAATTAGCACACTGAGAAAGGAATACTACATCTTTAGTGTCAACCTTTCTCTGCACTTTTCTGTAGCTGTTATAGTTACTCCAGAACTGTGTGATGGACAAGGAGAAATGGGAGAGCACCTGGAATAAGTGGTGCATTTGTTTGAAGGGCAGCATCTGGGCTGGGTTCAAATGAGTTCATTGATGGTACTTCTTGGAATGACTTATTCTTGGTGGTGTACTTTGATTAACTCTTCAAAAAAAATGGAGTTCAGATGTTATGAGGCAGGAACTGACAGTCATTCTGCAATAGCGTGGAAGTTTATAGTTTACTCAGCAAAAGCTTGCATGCTGGTGTATTTTAGAACTTTTGGTCACCTCAGTACTTGAGAACCCATTCTTTTGGATTCTCTCAGTTCTCCGGAACAGAAATTATTGCATAGTTTCAGAGTTTGAATTTCACTTATTACTTGTCATATTCATAGAACCATGATTTGAGCAAGGTCCTCATTGTGCAGTTGAGAACAGGTATGAATTCATGACAGTCTATCCCTGACCCAGCAAACTCACCTTGTTTACTGAGCACTACCAATGTGAACTATGCACTGATAAATTCAAAGAATAGGGTTTTTTCTTGACAAACTGACACAACTGGTCCAAAGTCTGCTGATGCCAAGGGAAGAGCCTCACTGACCTCAGTAGACTAGGGATCAAGCTGTAGTTTCAGACATGCCTGAACAAAAGAAATGAAGAACAAGAATAGTCATTACTCCTGCAACCTTAACATAGCATATCAAACTTTTATAGAAACATGGTGTAAAAATCACTTAAAACCATATTTTTACACGTATGTGTTCAGTATCAAATTTCAATTACAGTTGCTGAAGAACTGTAATCACTGGAAAAGACACATGGCATAATCTCAGTCTGCAAACAATCAAAGAGCTGCCTGCAACAGCATACACCAGAGAAGAGCTTTTTAGTTTTATGAGGAAGAGAAGTGAGACACTTGGTAACAGCTCAGTCCCAGTCTGACCTTACCATGACCAGGCTGCACCTATACCCTCATCTCTACCTGTCTCCTATATTACTTGGGTTGGGCATGCATTTGGTGGTGTTAAACTCACATTCCCAAAACTCTACTCTGTGCATTGAGGAGCTAAGGTTCATTACATGTCTTTCCCACTGTCTCCTGGGCATGTAGGAAGTGAATAATATTCTTTCCATGATATGCCACATGTCCCCGTCCCTGTGTTGTCAGTTCGTAGTACATACAGATCATTTAGTGCAATGTACTTCACCTACTACAGAAGGTGAATCCAGTTGAGCCTCTTATATCACATTGTGCTTGGAAATGCCAGATAGTTTGTCTATACGTATCATATGGGTTTACTCTAACAATAGGAACCAGAACAGATCTAGCTGGTTTTGTTGCTATCATGATAATGGTGCTAGCTTGTGAAAGGTGTTCTGGGAAAACTCTTTGAATAAATTTTATGGTGAATCACAACCACTAGGTTTGGAAAATGATTAGGTGATGTAGAACAGCATTTTTCAGCATTGCAATGGCCAGTAATACCATTGCAACATTTAATTACCAACATTCGTTTCCACTTACATAAAGAAGGAATAAAACAAAAAGGAGGTGACAGTAAAGAAATATTCACAGTAATTGCTATTTGGTTTTAAATGAAAGGTGTGGTAGTGGTACAACACAGGGGAATTCTTGTTTTTTCAAAAAACAAATTTGTTAGGCTTTCCACTGATTTAAAGAGGTTGAAAAACTGTAGGCTCAGAAATGCTTGCAGCAAGTTAAACAAATACCTAAACTTACCATATTTCTGAGGAGCTACCTGGTTGTTGAAATTAACTGATAATCCTTTTAAAAGTAAACCTCTTAAAAGTAATGAACTATGTCCATATTTACATGTTCTTTTCACCAAGAAACACAAAGACAGCACCACCTTCCTGTGAATGTCTAGTTGCTACAAGAAGTTTCAAGTGTCATCAGCCCTTGATAAAATTTCTCCAAGTTTTGTAGCTTCATTTAAAGGCATCCTGCAGGTTCTTTAAATGCCAACAAGTTTGTAGTTTCTTATACAGGGAATAAATTCTGGCCTGTTTCTTTCTGAAAAGTTCTTTTTCTCCTGAGCTTCCTGTAGACAGTGGTAGTAAAAGTACTTTACATATGTAATGTATACAATTTTTAAAAAGCAACCTACCAGGAAAAAAAAGACAGTGTAACAGCCATCTGTTTGTGTCCACTATGTCCAAAAAGTCTAATCCATAAGCAGATATTTCATCTGTGTCAGAGGTGGTTTGTTCTGTGATGCTCATCAATGTTGCTGTACATGTTGTTGGTTCAGCCATTCTTAAGGGTTTACTGTAAAATTTCTCCTCCAAATGTCTGTGAAGGGCAAACAGTGATTAAATCAGTACCTTTGAGAGGTGGAAACCCTGAGGCCACATCAAAATTAGTCTTGGTGACCAATACCTGACGACTAAGATTAAACTATGCTTTTCTGAGAACCATACTGCAAACCAACACAAGAATGAAGGCTTTTCTTTCCCCCTCGTTCTTATAGATAAAAATGAGCTAAAGGGTGATGAGCTGGTTACCTTGTGATTTGTTCCCAGTAATCAGAGAAAAACTTTATCTGACCTTGTGGATGTGTGGGCAGAGTTGTGAAAAAGCACATATCACTTGAAGTAAAAACTGCATCGAGTTCAGGCTCTAAACTGTTCTCCTAGTTAATCTAGATGGTCATTTTATGAAGAGTAACCCTTGTTTTGGAGCAGAAGAGTTCAGGTGCAAAAAAATTAGGGAGGGATGCAAGTTGTCATTAAATGATACAGAGGAGTTGGCAGTGAAGAAACTTTCTATTTCCTCCTTCCCACTCCCCACTTCACAGTTTGCCTCCCCCTGGTCATGCCAACACAACTAGATGTTGGGCTGTGTAATAAACCAGATCCCTGAAACAATCCAAGTAAAAATAACCCTTCTGACTGTCCACAACTGAAGTATAATTCTTGCAGAGGTCTTGAAGACCAATCTTAATGCTTTATTTGATTCAAAATAAATAAGAAACAAATGATTAATTGTTTTATCAGAAAAACAATATTGTTAAGAATTACAAAGTGGTGCATCGTGCTTTTTTCAATTCATAGATTGTGTGGTTTGGGTTTTTTTTTTACAGCCAGAGGGGACTAGATATTATGAAGATGATTTTAAGTTCATGGAGAATAAACTAATGGAATTTTGAGTGAGAAGTAAAAATTGACACCCTAAACTTAAAACTAGATTGGCAGGATATCTAAAAATGCAATATTGAGTATTTTAAAAAGAGTGAGAGCTAACCTTAATAACAAGAAAACACACAAGACCAAGTGTAAGTTTTTCAAAGATAAATTTATCCCTCTTACATATTACTGCTGCTTGCTAAAGCTGTCTCTGCATAGTTTAAATAGATTGATGAAAAAATGTTAAATAATAGAAATGAAAAAGTGTGCATTTCATACAAGTGAAGCAGGAACAAGAGAATAAGCAGACTGACTAATAATCAATGTCCTCTAAATGCTTGGCAGGGGTAACTTTTAAAAGCAGTTCTCAATGTCATGCAAAAGAGAAGATGGTAAGTAATGGCACAGGTCCTTCAATAACATGGCAGTGGCATTTTGGTTCCTAAATTATTTGCCTAACATGCACTGTATTGCAATTCTGTTACTTTCACTAAAGACATGTTGTGCTATTTATAATAGAACAATTAAAGAATTTTGTCTGTGACAGACTAGGCGATGAGATGCTAGCAGAAAAAATCATCAAAAGTGCCCTGATAGAAAGTGTAGTCTCAACAGGGGGTTTTGGCTCTTAACCTGAATATTGCAACTTTCTGCTTTCAGTCTGCAAAGTTTCCTGGACTAGAGTGCAGTTACAAAAAACTTATTCAAGGAAATTTCATTTTGTTTCCTGCAGCTTAGGGAGCTTCAGCACCATTTTCTCATCTGCTTCTCCATTCCAATCACTTACTTAGACAACTTTCTCCCCTCTGCTTCAGTTGAAGCAACCTTTCACCAGCATTGTTCCAACAAGCTCTTTCTTTCAGCTTCATCACTATCAGATGGCTTGGTGTAGTATTAACGTCTTTACGTTTTAAAGTCTCTCCTCCCACACTGTGGGTAACTGGAACTTCTTTGGCTACAGAAAAATGGTGGTGGGAAAACCTCCACCATTTTTTAGAGAGATTTTAGGAGAAGAGTGAAAGATGCTCTATATCTTTTGAGACAGAAAATAAACCCAAGATTTACTGAAACCTTCTAGATTGCAGGAAATTTTATAGGCCTACCACAGCTTAGAGTACAGGAGGAGCAGAGAAGGGCTTATCTACGATGCAATATAGTAACTAAGATGCCTCACTGTTTCAGATTATGACAGTTCAGCTTTTTCTGGAACAGAAATATAACTTTTTAAAATGTTAGTGCCATTTCAAAATCATTTATTGCTGAGCTCTAATAATAAATTTTTCTTTAGAGTGTCATTTTACTCTTTGCATATTCATTAGCGTCTTGTTCTCAGCCATAACTTCTAAGACCTAATCTAACATGAACAAAACAATATTTAAATCAAAAAAATTTTGAACTCAGATTAGAGCACTTGTATCTTCTGCAAACTCTTTGCCTTGTTGCCAGGTAGTATATTTCTCCTTCTGACATGAATACGCACATGGTTTTACTTAGCTATATGTGGCAGATACCTTGGCAGTATTTCTTTCCCACATCCATATTTATCAAAAATCTTTACAAAATGCTAATATAATTTCAAGGGTTGGAAAGGAAACATCAATTAAAAAGATGGTTTAAGAGGGTCAATTTTCATTCAAGTTTACTAGAGGAGTTTATTTCTTTTAAATGTTGAATTTTGACTCCAGTTATTTTAATCTAGGTTCCAGGTCTTTTGTGAGCATCGTGTGGATAAAGACAAGAGAACAGTGAAAGACTGGGTGAAAAGAAGATTTACAATACTTTTTTCCCCTCGTTAGTTACATCCATGTAATTATAGCAAAGCGCTGAGTGGGTACCACTTTGACATGCACCTGAAGCATTTTTTCTTTGAGAGTGCACTGGTATTTTAGCAACACAGCTCCTACTGTGACTGACATTTGGTTTTGGACTAAATCATATAAATTGAATAGGAGACAGTGGCTATTGGCTAGTTCAGCCAAACTCTATTTTCAGAGTAGATTTACCTCCATGAAGCCCTGCATTATTGCACAACTCCATGTGATGCTGCTGTCTGCAGCACAGTCTTACCCTTAGCTTGGCTACTAAGAGTAGCCAAAGGCAGTGCCGTAGAAAAGCAGAGGATCAGTGAAAATGTTTTCTTTAGCTGCAACAAAGACTACATGTGGGCCAAGCACATCAGTATGGCAGATGACCTGACAGAACAGATAGTTAAAACAATTTAGTCTTCTTAGGAATGTTGTTCCTGGGATAAAAGCTCAAACCTCAGCTCACTCAAAAGAATATTATTCTAGAGCATCATTTCTATAGTTAACACCTTGAGAAGCAAAAAAGAGTAGGTGAATACTGTTCCTTCCACACTTTTACCTGTTTCATTTAGTATTTTCCAAAAGCCAGTTCAATGCTATCTGAGTCTGTAAATTACTGAAGTGGAAAGCATTTAAGTCTGTTGATTGAGGGGAAAAAAGCAAATACCATATTTC